TTCTGACAACATTGCAGGAGAGTTTCACAAGACTGGAAAACGATTCCAAGTTTTTAATCTGTATATTGTACCTGATCCATTTTTTTTCTAGTGCACTGTGTTTTTTTGACATAAATTGACAATTGCTTTAGGAGTCATTAACTTGATCACAACAACCTTAATTTCTGGGAAATACATGCATCCCAAAGGCGTTGGCAGGCTTGAGATCCTTTTTGTTCATAAATCAGAGCTTTGGAGGAGACTCTTGTATTTTGGAAGGAACAGAGAAATGTATTTAAACTGATTTAGAAAGTGACCACTTTTTTTTGTTACTTTTGATGTTTTACATGGCAGCTGTGTTGTACGTGCTGTACATTTGCTCAACCAAATGATGTTAGAGGAGGCTGAGTGGAAAAGCCCAGTGAGGCAGCAATAAAGTCAAAGATTAACGAATGAATTGGCAGATATTTGACAGTTGCTTATGGACCTTTGTATAGTTAAGAGGTCATCATTCATTGTTATTATGACTTGCTTTCTTGAGACTTCAGAAATGTTCCATTTCAAGTTCTTGATTACTGTAACGTGACTTGAACAGACTAATAATAACTTAAAAACAGATGTTCACTCTAGTCCCAATTACTGGGTCCCCTGCATGTGGTTCCAGGACTCATCGTCTTTTCAGTCCACATTGAGAACAGACTTTTGCAGCAAGGAGGCTGGTATATTCATGCAGGTTTCAAGGTTCAAAAGATGTTTCGAGGTTCGAAAGCTTCAGAACTGCACAAAAAGTGTACCTGATCACACCTGCCATCAAGTCACCTCTGACTGATGGCTGTTCTATGATTGAATGACCTCCAAAATGTTCTGTTGTTAAGAGCCCTCTGCAGCTTTTGGAGTCCTGAGATGGTGACTTCCTTTATAGAATCTATCCATCTCATATTTAGTCTTCATCTTTTCCTGCTGCCTTCAACTTTTCCTAGCATTATTTGATCTACAGCTCCCCAAATCTAAATCTCCCAGCTTGTGCAGCTGCTGAAATCAGATCTCCCTGTAGTCAAGGAACACCATAAAAGGCAAGTGTATGTAACTTCTCTAGTACTACTGCGTATGTCTTAGGGAGCAAATATATGATCTCATTAAGGAGGCGTCTAGCTCAGTTGTTTAGGTATCTAGGTGCATAGCCAGAAGTTGGGAGTTTGATTCTCCACTGTGCTTCCTGCAAGTAGAGCCAGCCTGTGTGACTTTGGGCAGGCTGCAGAAGAAGGGACTGGTCAACCACTTCCTCTACGGAAACGGGGATGAGCACCGTCCCCTAGAGTTGAACACGACTGGACAAAAATTGTCAAGGGGAACCTTTACCTTTACCTATGTAATTTCTCTAGTACTACTGCATATGTCTTAGGGAGCAAATATATGATCTCATTAAGGAGGCTTCTAGCTCAGTTGTTTAGGTATCTAGGTGCATAGCCAGAAGTTGGGAGTTTGATTCTCCACTGTGCTTCCTGCAAGTAGAGCCAGCCTGTGTGACTTTGGGCAGGCTGCAGAAGAAGGGACTGGTCAACCACTTCCTCTACGTGGAAAACCCTGAAAAGTGTTGCCATAAGTTTGAATTGATTTGATGGCACATGGTTATTATTTAAGGGAGCCTTCTAGTGTGTTGCTGTTTCATTTTAAAGCTTCCTTAATATGCTTTCATAATTTTAAGGGGGAAAAACATTATGACATATCTAGGCCATTTTCTCTTTTCCAGTCATATGTAATGATTTCCCTCTTGATCATGAAGCGCCAAAGACTCATACCCATGCAGGCTCTTGATAAGATGTTAAACGAGGCTATCACTCTGTCTGTCTCCCCCACCCCATTACAGGGAAAGGAGAAGTAGCATTTTTGAACTACACTGTCAGTAAAGAAGATTGCTCAGAATGTAGTAAAAGCAGGAGGTGTTTAAATGAAGTCAGATGAGCCCCGATTACAAAATTAGCTGTGGAGCTCAACATTTGGAGTGATGAAGCAAAAGTATTTTATGCACAGCACTTCTAAAATCTTGTACAACAGTACAGAAGAAAAAGAACCCAACAATAAAGCAAAATCTGTAAAAAACTTTTCATTAAAAAGCAGAGTAAAAAGCACCATTAACAAGCATCTGGATAAATAGGTCTTTAAACAGTAGCAGAAATACTCAACATTAGGGGCTAACTGAATTTCACTGTGAAAGTGATTTTTTGCACAATAGATGTGCAATTAAATGATGCAAGCTGCCTTGGGTCCGTTTAAGGAAAAAGGTGAGGTAAAAATATTTGATATAAATAAATAATAGAGAGTTCCCTTCTGCATTGCAACCAAATGATCCTCACTAAGTCATGGTTATAGTGAGCAGAGCCCCTTAAACTCATAATATGACTTCCGTTTAAATTGGATTTATTTATTTATTTTATTTTATTTATTAAATTTATATCCCGCCCCTCTAGACCAGGT